TGGGTGGGGGGGAGACTCCATCCGGACGAGACAGCATAATTACAATCGAACTTCACTTGTAAGTTCGTTTGATTGATCAATTATGCAACGTCTTGTCCGGATGGATAGTTGTAGATGTTCAGAGCTCAGATTTGTAAAAACAGAAATATAAGGGACTGTAAATTTATATTGTATTTTAGATAATAAGATAAAGTCCATAAACTAGCCGAAAAAATCAGCTTAATAGTAAACATAGATATGTCTCAGATAAACGAAAACTTAAGCTAGCTATAAGCTAAATAAACATAAATGTCTTAAAATGTTCTAAATAAATACATACCAAAGTACATATTATACATACGTACTAAATTAACATATAAATGCCTTAATACGGCTAGATAAAGGAATGTTTAAACAAAAAATATAAGTGTCCTCGCATAAATTATAAAACAGACCATAAAATATTGCGCTTATAGTTCTCAAGGCACAGCCAAAGAAGACGTATATAAAACTAAGCATTATTCAGAATTGCACTCTGGAAAGCCGTATTATTAATTATCGTACGGTTATAAAACCGAGCAAATACCTGCGAAGTCTTACTCCAGCCAGCTGTGCGTCTAATTTCCTCTATACTAATCCCTCTATTTGCTGCTAGGGATGTAGACGCGTGACGGGTAGAATGCGCAGAAAAAAGCGTTATGTCGACTCCTGCTGCATGTAATTCTGCCTTAACCCAGCGGCCCAGAGTCTGAGCGGAAACTGCGTTGTATGGGGCACGAAACGAAATAAAAAGCGAATCACAGCCTGATTGGCGGAGATTACCTGTGATAGTCAAATAAAATCTTATTAAGGAGAAGATGCATAGCTCTGGTTTGTCAACGAAAGGCTTAAAGAAAAGCAAAGGCTGAGATCTACCAATTCCAGAGGTTTTGAGGCGTGCAGGAATCCTTATAATAAGAGAATCCGAAAAGGACACATTTGGTAGCTGAATAGCTGCCAAAGTTTGTAATCTCTGGGCAGTGGTAAGAGCGAGGAGAGTAACCAGTTTTAATGAGATTGCTTCTAAGGAGAGGTCTTCATGTGGATACAATGAAGCTAAATGCGAGATCACTGGAGCCGGGTCCCACATATAATCGTATCGAGGGCGCTGAGGTTTTAGAGCAGCAACTCCTTTACAGAACCTCTTGACTAGAGGGTGAGCGCCTATTTCGTCCTGAGAAAGAAGAGAAATTGCTGAACGGTAAGTATTTAGGGTAGCATAAGAACCCACCCTCTCGAGCAAAGATGACAGAAATTCTAAGAAGAGGGACACAGATGGAGCGAAGCAGTTGGCATCTTTCTCCTTGCAGAAGAGCCACCAAAGTTTAATAGGCTTCGAATATTGAGCTATAGTAGCTTTCGACAGGGATGCTAGCGTCGCAGCTAAAGCTGAAGGTGGTATTCCCTTAAGTAAGAAGGCTTGCCTGATAACCTCGCGGCCACCAGGGAAATTCTGCTCCAGGCTGGATGAAAGTCCCTGAAAGGTGATGTCAACATATTAATGTCTGGATTAAATTGGATCGGTTGTTCGACAATTAGTTGATTGAATAAAGGAAACCATGGCTGGGCTGGCCACCAAGGAATAATTACAACTCCCTCCGCTTGGTCAGTGATTATCTTGCGCAGAACTCTTAAAATTAGAATGAAAGGAGGGAATGCGTAAAAATGGAGATTATTCCAAGAAAGAGAAAATGCATCTACTGCGTATGCAAATGGATCTGGATGCCAGGAGACAAAACGAGGGCACTTTGTGTTGATCGAAGTAGCGAACAAGTCGATATCAAAATGACCGAAATGAGAAACCACTTTGTTAAAATATGTTTGTAACAGAGACCACTCTGTATCTTCTGAGATAATGCGAGATTCGGCATCAGCTTCAAAGTTCTGTGCTGAGGGAATGTATGACGCATAAATGAATAACTCCCGCTTTGCACACCAGGTCCAGATCTTCCTAGCTAAAGAGGATAGTAAAGGAAATTTAACTGAGCCCATGCGATTAATATAGGAAATCGCTGTAGAATTGTCTATCCTTAATAAGATGTCAGAGTTTTTTAAATGCGACGCGAAACATCTAAGACCGTAGAAGACAGCTAACAGTTCTAAGTAATTAATATGAAAAGTCTTGTTTTCTGATGACCAGAAGCCGTGCGTACGTCTTCCGTTGCATGCGGCACCCCATCCTGTAAGGGAGGCATCTGAAAAAATTTCAAGAGCGAAAGAACCCGAGCGGATGCCATTAACTTGCGAATTATTAGAAAAAATGTCTTTCCACCATAAGAGGTCCTCTTTAAGCGACGTTGGAAGAAAAATTTGGGCCTCAAAATCGTTATCTGAGCTTGAGAGGGCCAAGAATTTTTCTCTCTCTAAAATCTTTGTGTGTAGTAAACCGTACTGCACTGCCGGGCAAATAGATACCAGAGAGCCGATATAACTTGCCAAATATCGAATACTGCATCGGCTCTTAAGTAGAATATCCCGAGTTCTCTGTAAGAGATTCTTCCTTCTATCAAGTGGAATAGAGATTGAAAAATCTTCTGTATTGAAGATAAAACCTAAGAAACGGCAAGCTTTTGATGGAGTAAGCTCACTCTTCCGCTTGTTTATAATAAAACCTAAAGAAGATAATAAATTAATCGTTTCTGAGATATTTTCTTCACACTGATCATGCGTATGAGCGATAAGAAGAAAATCGTCGAGGTAAACCACTGAAAAGAAGCCTCTCTGTCTGAGGGAATACAGGATTGGCTTCATAACCTTGGTAAAAATATATGGGGCTGACGCCAGTCCAAAAGGTAAAGCTCTAAATTGGAAAAGTTGACCCTGGAAACGAAAGCGTAAGAGTTTTCTGTCGTCCTGATGGACAGATAGGAGCAGATATGCATCCTCAAGATCGATTGAGGCGAGATAGTCGCCTGGAGAGATAAGATCTATAACCGTCTTCCAGTCTTCAAGTTTGAAATGTGGAGCAATGATAAACTTGTTCAGACGTTTTAAGTTGAGAATAAATCTCCAGCCTCCCGATGACTTTCTAATAACAAAATATGGAGATAAAAACTGATTTTCACAGTCTGAGACTCTTTCAATTGCCCCTCTCGTGAGAAGTCTAACTATCTCCTGAGCGCAAATTCGTTCTTCCAAAGTTGACAGGGAAACCGGAGGATCTTTGACCAGAGCGGGTGGATGTTGAATTAAAGGTAGTCTATAGCCGGCGATAGTTTCCAATATAGTCGGATCTGACGAGATCCGTTTCCAGTTAGAAAGGAAAAACGGCTAACCTGCCGCCAATAACTACCTCGTTGACTACCTCCTCCTCGTCTGAGATCGGGAGCGGTGATACGATCGGCGACTGTTGCTCGGTGCCCCTGTCCTCTTCGTTGCCGATCTCGGATAACGTACAGGGGCGCGGAAGTTTCCCGAAGTAGACGGAGCGGGTCGCGTCAGTTGTTTGATGGGTTGCTGAACTCTCCTGGAAATAGCTAGCGTCGGTTTGATGATGTCTTTCGAGGACTTTTCCATGGACACTGCCTTTTTCATTTCTTCCCCAAAGGAAGCTCCAAACAAAAGATCGTCCACTGGAATGGTATCGGCAGTATGCTTGGCGTTTAGATTGAGGGATGGTGTAATTAAAGCCCTTCTGTTCAAGGAAGTGCGATAGAAAAGATCTGCAAGGATCTTTGCTCCCTCATTCACTTTGGCTACCGCTAAGCAGGCCTCAGAGCTCAGTGAGTTCTGGATATCCGACTTTAAGAAGTCCGAAATAGCTTCGCCTAAAGCGCACAAAGCTAGACCCGCTTGATCTTGAAGCCTCTTAGCGTAGTCATCCCGCTTCACCACAGAAGAATTTTTAAGCGCCACCTTGCACTCCTGATTTAAAGTGGGGGCCTTGAGGAAAACCAGAGGCTAATAACAAGTATATTTTTTGAATAACATTTCACGTTGATCTTGCGGGAGACCCTTGCGCGTTAAGTCGCGCCAGTTTTGAATTACAAGCTCATTCCAAAACAGCGTTTCGTTTCCTCCAAGCTCTGACCCAAATAACTGTCTAGTGAGAGGGTCTGCATTGTCCTCCACTGGAGCAGGAGGTGTCTGAAGGACGTCTTCCTCAATAGAAAACCGCTCCGGCTGTTCTACGGAAACATTATTCTTAGTTTCAGGGTTCTCACCTGCTGGATAGAGAGCAAAAAATTCCAAGTAGATGGAGGGGAAAAAACAGGATGTGTCGTCATGCCGCCTGTATTATTCAAATACAGAACCGGCAATATCAAACGCACCTGATAGTTCTGGGTTCGATGGTTCCTCTTGACGCACAAGGGGAGCCAAAGTATGATTTGAGTCAGCACTTAGATGGGGACTCATAGGAGTGCCAGATACTGAGTCAGTACGAAACCCAAAATCCTCCTGGGAAGCTGCCAAAGGTCTAAATGTCGATGGGGAGGGGCAGCTGGGCGCCCTAACCTCACTTCGTGACAGCATGTCCATTATACGCGACATTTTTCGCTCTAAAGCGGCAAAGCGATCTGGTGAGGGTGATCTTCTCCTCTTCCTGGACTTGTGGGATCTCCCCATACTTGAATAAAGGCTGAAAATACTAAAAAAAAAAGGAAAACGCGAGAAGGCACGTGTTGAGTCTTCGCACAACAGGAAAAACAATGATAATCGCGAGTGTAGAGGGCCGCGCCTAGGTGACGTAGGCAGGCGGCGCCCTAGTCGAAAATTTTTCTAGCTTTAAAAAGGCCTGTTGAGGATAGCGCAGCGGGGACGCTACTACAACTATCCATCCGGACGAGACGTTGCATAATTATTATTTTAATTCGAAATTAGTCTCTAATTTATCACTACTTGCAATTATTTAATGACAATTATAAAAGGCCTAATGAGCCATGGATTAACATTCTCAATGCATAATGTGATAATAATAAGCTTAAATAAATACGGTAAAAGCTTTATAAGCGTTATATTCCGCAAAAGTGCCGCGAATATGAAAAAAGAGAAAAGCGAAGAAAGATTAAGGTTAAATGAAAAAAATGTATAACGTGGAAGTAAAACACGCGTTTCTTATTTTTTGCCTTGTCCGGCACTATTACAATTTAGCGAGGTAAAACCCGTGAAAAAGAATAAAGCGAGATAGACTGAACACTTAAAGGACCCAACGTTACAACGCTAACATGGGCGGGAGGGACTGTAAACGCTAATCTCTAACCTGCGCTTCCGCGAAGAACAATAGCACATTTTAAAGGCAAGCTTTTAAACATTTTTTTTTCTCTGTTCGCGTTATTTCATTATTTCTGCAAAAATTTCTCCGCGCGCGAGCAAGCGAAATTGAGTTTCGCGAATGTAAAATCTGTTGGTAAATAGCGAACCGCGAGTGAAAAATAACGCGAATAACTTATCAGCAGGCTACGTCGAACGTCGCTGCGAATATAATTCGCCAAGCATCGCGTCGCTCGGGAAATCAATATCAAGAGCATCGTTCTTTATCAGCGGGAGCGTGATCTCTCGCACCTAACAGAATTTTCCGGTGTCTTTTCAATTACCGCTATGATCCCGACAAGGTGTTCGATCTTTCCTTCCGTCGTGCCTGTTTTCCCGACGTGGAAGTCCCGAAAACTCGCGCGGAATCTTCTAGCCGACGCCCCGCGTAATTTGCATACGATTAATCTTAATCAACATGCCGGCATCCTCCTCGTCCGAGACTCGTCGTTGTCCCCGATCTGGCGCGGGTTAAATGGCGAACACCTCCGCCGAGGCCACATGATGGATCGTTACATCTTGGCTGAACTGAGGTTGCGCCAAGACGAATTCGGCAAGCGGAATCGATCTAATTAAGCGCACGCACGGTCGCGCGGAACAAGACGTCGGGCGGATGAGAGCTGATTGAATTGCGGTATGCAGATCTGCGTCAACAGTGTATTCCGATTGCGTTGCGCTTCGACGGTGATACCGCGTTCTGTCGCGAGCTGAATAATGCGCAATTGCGCAAAATTTAACGCAGTCTACTTACCATTGTATTTTATACAAATATCCTTAATATCATTTATTAAACTGCTACTATAATTTTTCAAATTGACAGTGAACATTAATTTGTCAAATTCAAAATAAGTTTCAATGCGGAATGATATTGTAATAGCGATTCAATGCTTTCGACACACGGAACATAATTGCACATCACGGAAGTACAAAGTTACATCGCACGTTTATCCTTGTCAGAGGATAAAGTTACGTAACTTATGCTCGTGATAGATGGATTGCCTAAGCATACCGATATATATTATACATATATCAAGACGGATTCAGTAGAGAATCGATCTAATTAGATGCGCTTCCGTCGGTTGCTGCACGACAACGGCAGAGGAACCATCCGTGTTAATCGAATTGATGTCGCGCAATGATTCGCATCACTCGTGCGTTACAACGTTAAATCTGATTGTACGAAAACAACGCTCGCGGACTTTATAAAAGAAATTTCCATGCATAATATATTGTTTAACGCCTTCTCTTGGCCGCAACTATTCCGCGCGCTTTAAAATATTCTTTCGCGCTTACTATTTCTCTTACGCGTCGCCGGTGTCCCACGTACGTTTCATATTAAAATCACAAATAGATATTTCCGGAAATACACGGTTCGCGGGATATGTAAACAGAAATTTTGCAATCTGATGTGTAATTATTGTTTATTTCTGCGCACGTAGCCGCATTGCCGTTATCTTCGATACCTGCATCTTTTTATTTTTTACGCTCGTTACCGGCGTACACTCGATATTATTATGGCTCGATAAATAAAAAAAAACAGGAAACTCGAAATTTCCATTGCTAATGACGCGAGAGTATCCCGGCCGACGTGTTATCGTTATCTTCCACCAGGCTGTAAGCTCGCCACTATGCGAACAAATTTAATCGCATATCTGCGAAATTTCTCGTGCGATAAAGCTCGCTCTCGACTCATGTACTGAATATTTCATTATCAAAAATAAATGGCCCGGAGCCGGGATCTAAAAGGAGTTTGTTATTAAAAGAGCAACTCTATACATATATTACAAGCTACCGTACGAAAGTAAAGATGTTACTTATTTATGTATTAATCCTATGAATACTAAATTCATGTATCTATGCAAACATTGTTTTGCTTCGTGGGTTTATTGGAAGAAAGCAGTCGTATCAAAAAAAAAAAAACTTCTTTACTTATAGCCTATTAATTAATTTTTACACCGCAGATGACTAAAGTCAACCTTTAATCCCGCTCTTCTATTCGTTTTTGATAATCATGCATTTAGTGCATCGCGTTATGAATGGTATGCTTCACAATAATTTTAATCAAACATGCACCTTTTGTATCGTACAAAATGAGATACTGACGAAAACTGGAAAATTTTCGAAGCAGTTCCTAACGAACACGCGCTTTACAAACGAGTCGAATAATCCCGAGCGGAACATCAGGCTTAATATGCTTCGGTTATCCCGGAGAAGCAAAATAGCCCGCGATATCTCCCGTATTTCCTACGTATTGCCTTGCTAGCGAAACTCATCGTGATACAAAAACTCCTCCATTTGCTCGGCATTATCCGGCTCAGGCACTGGGAGCTTAATTTTCGCCGACGATTGATCTCGAATCTCCGGTGTCGGCGGGAATCCCAGGACGAGCGCGTCACGATCGCGGCGCGGCACCGCACGAAACCCTCGAAGATTAACCCCCCACGATTTATTTCGACCGTTCTGACTGCGCTCTCCCGGTTGTCGCCGGGAGGAATCTTCCGCGACGAGACACTTGAGGGACGTGATGCTGATAAAGGATCTCCCCCATTCACGGGAGGGGGCCGCCAGCTAGCCGCAGTTAGACTGCGCGCGTTCTCGAGTTATTCGAGGGAGGTTGGGAAGCTATCTCGGCCACGTTTCCGTGAATGCGCATTGTGTGCATTGTACGGCCGATGACTACCACACGAGCTAAGGATACCGTCCGGCACCGAGAAGAGATCGGCCGTCATATGACGCGTGTCGGCCGCGCCGTCATCATTTATCTTCCGTTGAATTTCAGATATTTCCCCGTGCGCGCGCGGTTACGCGAGACAAATGGAGCATAATTAACATGAATATTCCGAAATAAATGCGCGGAAGAGTTTGGTGCGCGCAGTCACAGTGATCGGCCGTCACGCATGACCGAATATTCACACCAATTATATGGCAATCGCTTCTTCTACTGTCATCTCGCGTCGGCGAGATCGACAAACTGTTGAATTCAATTACGCGCGGCGTTCGGCCGAGATCTCCAAATTTGACGCATCGCTCGCACGAGATGGCGGAAAAGTAACGGCCGGGCGTTACATACCATTTCAATACACAATGTGTGTATTTTCCGCGATAAAGCATTAAGATAACGCGCGCCTGTCCCGGAAATAATTACACAGGCTTGGAACACGCATTCGTGCCAGACGGTAGGCGCCTAAGCGGCACGTTTAATCCTCGTGGAATCACAGTCGGCGTTCTCCGTGCTTCACAAAAGATTTTCGGTACGTTTGCACACCAGCTGCAAACCGTTATGCAGGTACAGACTCACCCGTTCTTCCTTTCCACGCCTTTCCTCGGCGGCGTTTGTCGCTAAAGTAAGCGTGCATATTCCGCCGACGTCGTCGCCGCGCGCATCTGCGAATGACAGCAGTTGTTTCCAAGTTTATCCGAAGCTGCGGAACGTATCTGGCCTCTTAATTCGCCCGTCTAACCAGAGGAGGCAGGAGAAGACACACGTAGGATAATCGCCACGTATCCGGTAAAGCTGTCGGGAAAGCGCAACGTAAGCGCGCGCGCGCGCGCGCGCGCGTCTTAGTTTTCTTCCATTATTATGCCGATACGATTTAAGTGGCTTAGTAATAGAAACCAAAATAGAAACATGTGCACAGTGAGAAAATTTAACGATGGCAAAATATCAGATTTGAAAAAAATTTTAAATAAATATATGGTATTTAAATATAAATTACAAATAAACAAATGAGAAATTATAATTAAATATTTTAACAAAATTAACTTTATTAAAATAAAAGAAAAGCATGAAAGTACATTAATAAAGTAATAATTGTAAAAATACATTGCTATAATTTTTGCATTTTCAACTTATTAAATACAGAACCTTTGATTATCAAATTTGAAATTTTTTTATATTATGAGAACAATAGAAAAAAAGAAATATGCAATAAATAACCCAAACTTAACAGTAAATTAGTACCTTGGATTGAATAAATGTAAACACATTTATTTTAAAATGTTTTTTTATTTGTGAGAATGTGTCAGTTTTCCATTATATTTGTTACATTCAATTAACACAATAATTTTAAAAGTACTAACTAAAAACCTAAATTTAATTTGTATAATACATATTAAGTATTATTATTATACATATTTGCAGAAAGTGCATTGTTCGTTCAATCGATTTACGTTATAATCGCAAATATTTCTATACTCATATCTAATTATTATATAAAAATATAATGTGTACTTATATAT